CCAGCCCCTTCGATCCTCTTCCTTGCCTTCGCATCACCCCTCCATGCCCTCGCAACCATCTCTCACGCATCTCCTACTTGCCTTCGCCTACCCTTCCTTCCCCTGCCATAACCTTTCATCCCCCGCCATACCCTTCCATCTCCTGCGATACTCTCCCATCCCATCCCCTTCAAACCACTCTCATCCCATCCCCTTCAAACCCCTCTCATCCCATCCCCTTCAAACCCCTCTCATCCCATCCCCTTCAAACCCCTCTCATCCCATCCCCTTCAAACCCCTCTCATCCCATCCCCTTCAAACCCCTCTTATCCCATCCCCTTCGCCCCTCTCATCCCATCTCAATGAAATCGTGCGATTTAAATTGCCTATTGTGGGCGACGTTCAGACGCTCCAGATCCAAGTTGAATCAGGTCATTTGAAGTTGTGACCAGAACGCTATGAACGTTTGAAGCCGCTGTGCAGAAATCCGACTGTGCACTCTATCTTTCGTTTTAGGCACATTGGAGCCTACTGTGACTATAACAAGTTCGGCCGTGTGGAATCCTGGTCAACTCCCAGCAGCGGAACCTCACACCGGAGAATCCTGCTTTTAAGTGTTCCGGTCGCCAAGTACGGATTGTCTGCGCCCGGTTGGTCGCCGAGAATGTGCGCGGCATCCTCCTCTGATATATTTGCCGCAGCAGGCCGCAGAGGGTCCGGCGGTTCGACATCGTCCGCCTCCCGCTGTTCTCCCGTCCGAATATCCTCATCGTCCGTCGCTTCAGGGACGTTCCTGGCTATGTCCTCTCTGCTTGGTCTCGTCGAAGTGCGCCTAGGAGCGGCGGGGGCGGCTCGAGAAGCGGATGTGCCGGCTGGGGGTGGTTGGCGAACCTCAGGCGGAACAGCCCTCGCTCTCCTACGTCGCCCACCTGTCGAGGTCGGTGCACCAGCCGAAGGTTCCGTCGAGCGGTGGGCTGTCGACGATGGTGCACGGTGAGCTGGAGCCTCGTGTGTAAAGGGGGCATTTGTTGTCGAGATGGGTTCTACGACAACAGGTATGGATTGACCTGTCGAAGGGAATTCGGTCTCTGCACCACCCACTTCAACAGTGACCGGAATACCCGTCGAACGCTGGTCCGTAACAACCGGCTGTATTACTACCGGTATGGCTCGCGACGTCGAGGTGGGCGCTGCCACCTCCGGTATGGCACGCGTCGTCGAAGGGGGCGCGGAAGAAACCGGCCTGGCTCCAGACGACGAGGGGGTGGTGTGGAGATGGACTCCAATTCGACATGTATCCATCCTACGTGCGCCTACCGGGAAGGCGCTGTCGTCGACGGATCGGTCTCCATCAGTGCCCACCGAAAGCTACCGTTTCTCCCTAAATCCTGGCCTGCTGAGAAAACTGTGGTGCTTCTACTATGAATTCAGGTTTATACAGCGACCTTGGGCTGATGTTGCTCCCCGTGGAGACTGAGACATTTGACGTGGCAGTCAGCAGTTGACGTGAACGTTTGACTGCGACAGACGTAACCCGTCGCCCATCCGACAGCGACAGTTCGCTCGACCGACGAGGCGACAGGTTGGCCGCAGTTGACGTCTCCGTCGATTGCGACCGTCGGCCGGTTGCGAAACAGGTTTCGCAACCGTCGACCGTCAGCGCCACCGTGTAGGCGATGCCTTGGCGACTTGCCACCGGGTGTAACCAGTGTTGTCGGGGGTGCACGGTGCTCAACGGCGATTGGCCAATGTCTGTCGAGCACTGTTCGACAAATGTCCCCAAAATTGCAACAGTGCGGCTGACATATATATTGGCATAAGAATACGACATTGAACCCGCGAGTTTCGGAGGGTTTTTTGGCATGGTCAGCCGGGAATTTTCGGGGGCCCGGAGGGATTCAGAGGGTTTTTCGTTTTGCCTCAATTCCCTTTGTGCTAGGGCGGGCGGGGCGGCATGTGATGACGTCACCCGTGTGTATATAATAGGGAAGAATATGACGATTTTATTCTCTCTACTGTAGCACCCCCTACATTGTCAGAGCCATGCACTTCTGTTTCATATATTTGAGGCAATAGAGTGAGTTGACTAGAGATGCAACTAGAAAGGGATGGTTGTGATGGTGGAACTATTGAAGGAAATATAGCTACTGTTGAAGAGAAAAAAAAAGTGGCCAACATCAATGGCTGAAATTAAATAGTGGTAGGTGGTACAATAGATGCAAAGAGCCAAGACATACCGTATACTGCCGGACAAAACACCCCCCCATAATTGTACACCCCCGGGTAGCTTGTGCGGGGTGGGTGTTATGACAGACCTCGTTTCTACTATACCCCCCTTTTTGGCTGATTTTCTATAACACCCCCCTTTTCTTACGGATTCATTATTATAGTCGTTAACGAGTAGCTGCAATACGGAAGAATATCGTGTGAATTTCTCCCTCGATGAAATTCCGCGGTACATTCAAAGGCAATCTGCCGAGATTTGCCCCCTCCCACTATTTCTCTGTCGCCACGTGCAGGTGAATCGTCCGTTGCAAGTGGCAAGAGAGGTGCCACATGCCATTTTCGTGGGGGCGATGAAGTTCGAGGCCGAAACTCGCATTCGCGCCTCAGGCAGTGATGCTAAAACGACCAGCAAAACACCCACATTGACTAATTAAAAAAACACTAACACTAAAATATGCCATATGTAAAGACCCGGGTATTATGTATTTTTTTCCTATGAGGAGACCCCCCCCAGTTTTTCCCTGTATTTTTAGCTATACCCTAGGGTGTTATGTCCGGGAGAATACGGTAATGCAATTATGCTTAGCACTGCCGTACCGTACATGGGAAGGCGGACAGCAAGAAGCAAACAGTTTTCCCGATTGCTTTTGGAACACAGAGCATTTATGGGGACTCCACTCCCTCATATAACCCGAATCTCCTCCTGCATACCACTTATGCATATAACCCAGCATACCACTTATGTTACAACAAGGTCAACCTCCGGCATCGCCCTTAACCACTCTGGAACGCCTTTCACACCCTTGCATCCCCGAATCTCCTCCTGCCAAAGCCTGGGCAGCTGGCTCATCGACTCGGGCAGCTCGGAAAGTTTTGGCAGCCTCTCCAGCTCCAACCATTCCAGAGATGAAAGTGACCCTACATTGACTGGTAACTGCTCGAGTTTCCCACAGTCCGTTATGCTGAGCTGGGCCAATCTAGAGAGGTGGGGGAACGAGTCAGGCAGGCAGCGCAGCAGGCAGCAATCGTGCAGGGTAAATTGCTCTAGGCTGGGCAGCAGCCAAAGGAATCAGGCAGGGAAGCGAGACCGGGCAGGCTAGAAAAAATCAAGGTCTGGAGGCCGGACAAGAGCCCAAAGGGGGGAGAGACGAGAGGCGATCACACGAGGCGATAGTGAGGGAAGTGAGGGAGAGGGTTAAGGGGAGGAAGGGTGGTAGTGTGACGAGGCTGTGGAGTTGAGAGAGATGGAGGGAGGTGAGACGGGGTAGCAGGCTGATGCTTGACGGCAGGTGTGTCAATGATTCACAGTCTGTGATTGAGAGTTCTTCTAACGAGTACATGGCAGCCATATCATGATGCCGCTTCAAATCCTCCCCACTTCCCACCCCCGCATCCCCCTTTCCCTCCCATTTCTCCTCCCGCATCCCCTCCTTTCCCTCCCACTCCCTCTTCCTCTCTCCTTCTCCACCCCCCTCCCTCTCCACCTTTTCTCCTTTCCCTCCTGCTCTTTCTCCCAAGACAGACATCAGGGACGCACATGATTGGATGACCAGGGTTTGCAAGAAGGAGAGGCGGCAGAGGGAGGGAGGGAGGGCGGTCAGCAAGGGGCAGTGGCTGATGTGCAAGTGAGTGAGGGTGGGAGCGAGGAGGGAGAGGGAGTGGGGGATGGAGGCGACGTGCGAGAGGTGTGAGAAAGTGAGTGTGGCGAGGGAGGGGAGGGAAAAGAGTGAGTGAGGGAGGTGTGTGATGTGCGCGTTGTGCTTCAAGTCAATGTGAAGCGTCACCAATCCTATCATCCCACTGGACCCTTCAAGCCTGTCCGATCCGGCAGCAGCAGCAGCAGCAGCAGCGCCAGTTACCGCATCTGCACCCGTTAGAGCCACACCCGTTATATTAGCATTGGGTGCGGTGTGAAACGGGAGGAGGGCGAGATCAGAGAGGCCGTGTAGCTTCAAGTGGAGGAGAGTGGGGGAGCAGGAGAGGAAGGCAGGGAGGCGGGAGATGCGAGGGCAGTCGGAGACAGTGAGGGAGTGAAGAGAGGGGAGGGGAGGGGGGAATGGAGGAAAATTGTCAGACTGAACAGTGTCATGATGAACAGTGTTATCCCCGTCGAAGAGTGACTCCATTTGGTCGATACCGTGCAGGATCAGCTCCTGTAGAGACGGCAGGTGCATCCATGCGCGAGGCAGGGCGGTGAAGCGCGCGCAGAGAGAGACGCGCAGGCAGGTGAGCGATGGCAGGAGGGGGAGGGGCGTCTGGGAGGTGGAGGTCGTGGTGGTGGTGGTGGTGCTTCTGCTGCTACCACCACTGCTGTTGCTGCTGCTGCCACGGATGCCACTGCCGCCATTCCCCCCACCTGTTTCCCCATGCGCAAGGGGTCGCAAAGCCACTGGCGGAGAGGGCAGGCGGGTGAGCGCGCCACACGCGACGAGATGCAAGGAGCACAGGGCGGCGAGGGCGGTGAGGGACGCGGGGAGACTCTGCAGCGAATCACAGAAGGAAATCTCCAGATGGTGCAGCGAGTGGGAGAGGAGGTGGAGGGAGGCAGGGAGGGAGGCGATGAGTGGGAGGAAGAGGAGAGTGAGGGAGCGGAGGTGGGGCAGCTGACAAAGCTCGTCCGGGAGAGAGGAGAGGGCGGGGCAGTTGGAAACATTTAAGTGAGTGAGGGAGGCGGAGAGAGCGGTGAGGGCTTCCGCGGGTATCTCCTGCATCTGCTTCCATCCGATTAGTTCCAGACGGGCCAGTCCTACCTTGCTCTCCTTTTGAGACGTCTCAAAAGTCTCCTGCATCCGCTTTCATTCGAGTAGCTCCAGACGGGCCAGTCCTACCTTGCTCTCCTTTTGAGACGTCTCAAAAATCTCCTGCATCCGCTTCCATTCGAGTAGCTCCAGCCGGACCCGTCCCACCCTGCTCTCCCTCGCATCCTCCTTACAAGGTACCCCCCCTTCCGAAACTGCCCAGGAATGACCGTTTGCCGCTTCCTCCGCTGCGTCGGGAGCAGACGGGCGGGATGCAGAGAGGAGCGCGGGGAGAGGGGTGTGCACGGAGGGGAGGTACGCGAGGGTGAGCGCGCGGAGGCGGCAAAAGCGCGCGGGGAGGCAGGCGGGGACGGCGGAAAGCAAGGCGCATTCGCGCAGCTCGAGGGTTTCGAGAAGGGGGAGCTCGGCGGGGAGGGATGAGGGGAGAGCGCGGAGAGCGCGGCAGCGGTCGAGGGAGAGGTGGCGGAGGGCGGAGAGCGTGGGGAGGGGAAGTGCGGGGGAGGGAGTGTTCGAGAGGGATAGAGAAGCGAGGGGGCCGAGCGAAGTAACCATCGAAGAGTTATCATCCTGAGGCAGTATGTGACTATTCTGACGAGCGACGTTCTGCGATCCGTCTGCGGCGTTCGCATTCGCATACGCATCTGAGATGCGCGAATCGTTTGGTCGAATGGAAGGCTCTGCAGTTTCGTCGATGTGCGTCGCGAAGCCGGTTGGAAGCTTCTCCAGAGCTTCTGAGTCGATTGATAGACTGACGAGAACGGAGAGTTGACGGAATCCGTCAGGAAGGCGTTTTAGTCCCCGAGCGGTGATTTTTAACGCCGTCAAGCGAGTCAACCCGCAGATTGACGGAGGAAGAGCGGTCAGATTTAGCGGGCAGTGCAGCTCCAGGGACTCGAGCCGCGGGCAGGAAGAGAAAAGCGACGCGAGGCCGGCTTCAGTGAAGGCGGCGCGGTGATCAGGACGAGATGACGTGGACGCGACGCGCCTGCCGCGAATGGTAACCTGCTCGGCCATGTCAGAGATGGAAGTGAGTAAGCGATGGACACGTGGCAGCCAACTGAGAGAGGAGGTGATCGTTGGCCAATGAGAGGCTTCCATCTGGCAGAGCGATAGACGTCAACGACGGGAACGAAGCGACACCCTTCAAGAATCGCCGGGTGCACAGCCGTCGCTCAGGCGACAGTTCGACGTGTGAGCGAGTCGCACATGCGACATGGTACCATCGGCGACAGACGAGGGCGTAACTACCGTCAAAATTAGCAGACCCAGAGTTGGAGATCCCGGAAATATCATAAATAGAATCGCGCCGTTTGCCGACGGATGGCTGGGAGCGACTAGATGCAGGCTGCGAAATATGGTGGCTGTGCGACTGCTGTTGCGAACATGGAGTTGACGTGTCGCCGCCATGAGCGACGGGCTCAACGTAGCTGAAGATGCGACCGAGCATGTCGTCCGAGAGGCCGTCGACAGGAGAGGACTCCACCCAGATGAGTTCGGTCGGTGCCGACAGTGGCGCCGACATTGGACCGCTCTTGGCGTAGACCGCCTGGATTGAGATGTCAGCCATTGCTCCGAGCAATGAATCGTAAAGTTTGCTGGTGCGACTGCTAGTGACTGAGCTGGCTGAGCTACCGAGGAGAAACGAGTCACAAGAGCTCCACTCTCTGACGTCTTGTGCTCCAGCATCAACACTCCTATATGCTATAGGACGTTAGATCTAAGATGGGATGGACTAGCTGGCATATTTTGTGCCGGCCGACTGAGCGGTGCGGCGGAACTGACGGGATTGGACGGGACAGTGAGTTGATCAGACGGTAATCGCGGTCGCAGGTTGGGGTTGGGGGGATGTCAAAATCCCGAGTCACTGAGTAAAACCTGAGCACGGTGAATGAGTAAAATGGGATGCGCGATGGTTTGAGCGTGGTTTGATACGGTGGTGTCCGCTGGGACATTGTCTCTACGAAATTTTTGGCCATATGACATCGAATCGAGCCCGCGCGTGGGAGCGCGTCCTCTCTGACATCTCGCGCGACATCGTCAGAGGAACAAGGAAAATGTTTCATTTGTAGCTGTTGTGATTGTTGGAAAGAGTCCATGCTCCAAACAGGTTGGATATGCATTACTTAAGTATTTCACGCCTAGGGGAATAAGATTCGGTACCAGGATGGATTCCCTGATCTCGCCACCATAAATTCTGTCAGGCAATTTGAGATCTTCAATTTCATATTTTTTCTTATAAGTTGTTTAAAATAAACCTCTCGGTAGATTCTAGTTGCGGAAGTGGATGAAGATGTGTATCTCAGCGACGATCCATACGAAATGCATGGACCCAGCCGTCATTTGTGTGATCGCACCTCAGGACGGCTCGGCGATCACGCTGCTGAGCTCGCGTGCCTGGATCTGGGAGATTCCACGCACCATCGTTACGGTCAAGAAACTTCTGCTATGTGGTAAGCACGTGTCGACCACCGTGAAGAAGACGACGAAGTTTCAGCAAATTCTACCCACGTACCTAATGATTGCTAAGGACAGACGCAAGTTGTCTTGCAGCACGCGGTGGATGCGGATTTCATATGGAGATGGAAAGTGGAGCATGTCAGCATGGATAACAAGCGGTTGGTGCTCGACAGGCAACACTCTGAAACACGTCATACCTGTTGGGCTGAAAAAATAGCCCTTAGGATCTTTGCAGAGGAGAACTCTTGGGTAGAAACTTGTAATAGTGGAAGCGTTTTAATGAGAATTGTGAACCGACCTTGCACTGGTGTGTGAGAGCAAAGTAGATTAAATTAAACAAGCAAATACAAGGATTTATATAAGAGTACAGGGAATACGAATAGATAGGTAGATAACTGTATTGCTGTTGCGGTTCGATACAGTGCGACTCGGGCAACTACTCTGTAACGAGTCAGTTGTGTGTCCTTAACTGTCGCGCTGTGATTGTCGAGTCAAAGGTCAGCGACCTTTGACTTTCTCGTAACCTCCAGGCGGTTACCCTAACCTCCGAGGTTGACTCGATGCTTCGTTTGGGACTGCTTCGCTTGGTGCCTTGGGTTTGATACGACAGAAGCGCACTTAGGACTTATTGTTTCCAACAATACCGAAATGAGAGATCGGCTTATCCATAAGCTATTGCAGTTCTCTTTAAAGGTGTGCTGGCGATGATCTCCCAGGAAATCGTCCAAAAGCGGACGGTAACGGCAGGACTGGTGAAGCGCGGACGCATGGCGTTCTTGGAAGGGTTGGCCTTCTACAGGGTGCTAGATCTGGTGTCAAGCTCAGACATGGACAAGATCAAGGGTCTAATTTACATGCACCCCTGAGATAAATATTATTGGTGGCATATTTTAGCAGATCTGTTTCACAGGAAGAAGTTGCGCCGTGGCGAGCCGAGCTAATTTCTGTACCCCCAACCCCCTTGCCTCCCCTCTCCCCTCCTCCCTAAGAGCAGCGGCCTCAATGAGGATCACCATGTGAAGAAATGAGGAATGAGAGAAGAGGGGTTTGCACTAGCAGCAGTTGGCATACATATAGGAAACCCTAATTTGGTTGTACTCGCTATAGAGTACCCCACTGCAGGCTAGACAATTATAACATTCTGACACACCACGTCCATGTAAACCATCCTGACAGATTCGGCGATCATCTTTACCTCCACCAAAGGGGTGCGAGAGGAGGGGTGCAAGAGGAGGGGTGCAGAAATGTGCGAGAGGAGGAGGTTCGCTTCAGGGGGAAGCGTTAATGTGCCAGAGCAAGGGGAAGTAGAGCCTTGCTACGGTCCAGAATGAATTTGGCCTACAAGCACCGCGCGGGGTCCATACGGAGAGTCACTCTACAACGGTAGTGACCTAGACTACGGGGGGTAGACACGAACTACTAAGAGTGATCGTAGCTTTGTTTGGGTTCCTTAGCGCTTGCACATTTGCAGGAGAGGTTGGCAAGAGTTTCACTAGCAAAGTTGGAATTGTAGAATGATTGAACAAGCAACGACAACAATGACTACATCAGGCACCTAGCAACTCAGTAACTAGCATGGTCGACCGCCAGCGCAGAATGGTCGACCGCCTGCCAGCGTTGCATAGAGGAGCCGCGCGAGCACTGCAAAAAGGCGGCCTGCCAACAGAGCAGGTCGACGGCATGCCAACGCTGTAGCAGAGCGGTTGTCCAGCGTTGCTTCGTAGAAGACAGCAGTGTGCACGCTCGCACGTGCGCGCAGACGATTGGCCCGACTTGCATCGTAGGGCATCCGTCGGCTGTTGTCTGCGCCTGACGAGCCACGTCGACTTCAGGATACCAGCCCGAAGTCGCCTTCGCCATCGCGACCTCAACGACATTCGCGTGCCTCCACAAGACTCGTCGAGCAGGTTACGCGGTCGACCTGGTCGACCCCTAGGTGATGTGGTCTACCCCAGGTGCCTCCGGTCGACCACTGGGTCCTTCTAGTCGACCACCAGGTGCCTTTGGTCGACCACAACTACTGTCAAGCTACCGCCTGGTCGACGGACCCCTTCTGTCGACCAGAACTGTTAGCTGTTGTTGCCGAGCTCCCCTCGTCGACCGCTGCTCACTGGTCAGGTCGACCGGCTGCTCCGTCGACCTCCCGGTCGAGCTGCAGGTCGACAGACTACTCTGTCGACCTCCCGTTCGAACTGTCCCTCCTGGTCAACAGCCCACCGGTCCCCCAGACCAGTCGTTTGCAGCTGTCAAGCTCCCTGGTCGACAGCAACACCACAGCGGTGCGGAGAGTCACTCTACAACGCTAGTGAGCTAGACTACGGGGGTTGGCACGAACTACTAGGAGTGATTGTAGCTTTGCTTAGTTCCTTAGTGCTTGCGCATTCACGAGAGAAATCGGCAAGAGTTTCCACTAGCAAAGTTGGAAGTACAAAATGATAGAACAAGCAACGACAACAAAGACTACATCAGGCACCTAGCAACCCTGCAGCTAGCCTGGTCGACCGCCAGCACAGCTCGGTCGACCGCCTGCCAGCGTTGCGTAGAGGAGCCGCGCCAACACTGCAAAAGGGCGACTTGCCAGCAGAGCAGGTCGACGGCGTGCCAACGCTGCAGCAGAGCGGCTGTCCAGCGTTGCCCCGTAGAACACAGCAGTGCGCACGCTCGCAGGTGCGCGCAGACGATTGGCCCGACTTGCCTCGTTGGGCATCCATCGGCTGTTGTCTGCGCCTAACGAGCCACATCGACTTCGGGATACCAACCCAAAGTCGCCTGCGCCATTGCGACCTTGACGACGTTCGCGTGTCTCCGCAGAACTCGTCGAGCGAGTTACCCGGTCGACCCGGTCGACCACCAGGTGCTTCCGGTCGACCACCAGGTCCCTCAGGTCGACGGAGGCCTCCCGGTCGAACTGCTTCTCCTTGTCGACGGCGTCGCCCAGACCAGTCAGTTGCAGCTATCGAACTTCCAGGTCGACAGCAGCACCACAGCGTTCCCCTGCAGCTCGACGATGCCTGTCGAGCAGCCCTCCGATTGTGAACGGTCGGCTGCTACTTCCGTACATCCAGCCAAGTCGTCGGCGTTGCCCAAGCGAGGGCGGGGCCAACACTCCACTCCCGTTAACAATCCCCTGCCGTGCTCACGCTTGGGCCTCCAGCCCACACGGTAGTACTCCACGGAGAAACTCGTCCTCGGCGTGCACTCCACACACAGCACGCCGTCACTGCACCAGCCGTGCAGAAGGGCACGATACCTACTGCTGCATCTCATCGTCGCCGTCGCCGACGTCAGACAAACGAACTTGGCTGATGGCGACAGAGCACCGGTTGAAAGCCGGAAAGTGCATCACCTTCGTCAGGAAGTCCGCCGGCTGCTCGGTGGTCGGGATGTACTTCAGCACGAACTTCCCGAGCCTCACCATGTGTTGCAGCCAGGCGTTGCGTCGTTCCATGTGCTTGAGGTTGCCCGTCAGCCCCAAGCCCTCAGCGACCGTGATTGCCGACTTGTTGTCAACGCGGAGGATGGTCGGCTTCCCGGCGTCGAGCAAGTTGAATTCCGCAAGGAGGAAGCGAAGTCGACGCCCCTCCTTGCTGGTATCCGTGGCCGCCACGTACGCCGACTCGGTCGATGACAATGTCGCGCACTTGATGCGCGAGCTCGACCAGGAGACGGCCGCCCCTCCGTAGACGAACACGTAGCCTCCCGTGCTCGTCCAGTTCAGCTTGTCGCCTGCGTTGTCGGCATCGACGTAGCCGATCAGCTCCAACGATTCATGTCCACCGCCGAACTCCGGGGCGGTGTCGCGGGTGACGGCGAGGTAGGCGAGGCAGCGGTCGACCTCGTGCCAATGCTGGTCGCTCCTCACCGTGAGGCCGCTCCCTAGCTTGCTGCAGGCGAACCCGATGTCCGGCCTCGTCGTCGTTGCCGCGAACTGCAGCGAGCCGACCTTCTGTCGGTACTCCTCCTCTTCGCGCTCCAGGGCCTCCTTGTCGTCGAACGTCAGCTGAGCGTAGGCGTCGACCGAGACCGGCGTCTTTGAGACTCGACCGCCCTGCTCCTCGTCGATGAAGCGCCTGCGCAGCTTGTTGGCGTAGCCCTACTGGTGCAGCCACA